CAATGCGAAAGTGGTGAACGACAATTAGATTTCGTAGTCAGCCTAGCGAGGGGCGGAGGCTTCCCGTCCCCCGCTCTCAGGACCCTTATTGTGCCCTACCCAGAACGTTTTACGACCACATTTCGGCACATCGTATCAGAGGGGGCCCCGAATTCATATCATGTGAAAACCATTTTTCTCCGAAACCATTTCTATCGCGAACCGTGCCTTTAATATATCGTACGTCGTGTCGTATTGGTCGCTTACATGAGTATGTTCGCTTACATGAGTATGTGAAGATGACTTGTGTTTACTATACACGCATAATATCACAAGTACACTTCAGTCGTAGATTCAATTCATATACTTTATTCACGCAGCTAGGGAGTAGTCGTCAAGGGGCCACGGCCTTAGTTTCCAACCCGTGGTAGGCTGCAGCACACCGCTGCCCCCTAGCACCCAGGTGTGACACCTCCCCTTAATAGAGGTGTGGGCCCTTACAATTCCCACATTCTGCCGTGGTCCAGATGCTTCCTCCGCCGATGCGTTTACCCTCGGGGACCCTCGGGACACTGACCGCGACAGTGTTGGTTTGTGCCTCACGTGAGTGAACAAGGAGATCCAGCCCTTTGCTCACAGCGAAGCCTGGTAGAGGCGTTGTCGGTAATGCCCACATTAGATGACGATCAACGTTCTCATGATGGTGAATTTGCAAAATTGCCACCAAGCTCAGTTAAACTCACTTATGTAAGTTTGTGCGCTGTTCACGAATTCTCTTCATAACACGGTATACTTGTTGCTCTTCAGTCGTAAACACTGGCGGGAGAAGCCCGTGAATACCGAGATAAAAACGTTCGCGAAGAGTGAAAGCTAAGCCCTAAAATGCTATCTCCCTAATAGACAAATCTTGGAAGTTCTCCTGGTATGGTTCGTTATTCTCTAACACTTTTGTACACACTTCCTCATAAACAGACGTCCAAGGAACTATTGGTTTCCATCACCACATTCTACTCAGTTTCTTCTATCGCTAGCAGATGAGCCTTTTAAGTACTCTCCATTGAACATCCTTTCTCACCTTATTTAATCGATTGTTTGTAAGCAGCGCGTAGCCTTTCTCGCGCGGCGTAATGCTTTCTCGACGATAAAGTTTATGTAAAGCCAAGGTCTTTGGGTTCGACAAATCCAGCTTCAAGTTTCGTACATGGCATATCGTCGTTGACGAGATGGCTCGTACGCATTGTTGGTTGGCTAGGTACCTTAACATAAAGCATTATTTCTGCTATACTAAACTTCCTTAACTGTGAATTTTTTGCCAAGACGCATTCAAAAGCGAAACAAAGGTTGACATTGCACGGCCTGCGCGGCGTTCCTGCAGCACGGTGGCTCATCGCGTAAGGGGCTCTTCCACGATATCCAGTCTTCCGATAAATAGGTAAAAAAACTCACGCATTGCTCGTCAACACAGCATGCATTTTCGTAAATACCTGAATGTATAATACGGAAGTTGTTTCGTTTTGTGGTGGTGTCTGTCACAAAGTTCCATTATTGAACAATCAACAAAAATCTTAGTTGAGCGCATTTTGTGGGACAGCTAGCTACGCTTTCACTGATATATGACCGTTCTCGAATATTTATACGTTCTAGTAGTCTCTCTTAACTAACCCTTTGACGACAACGCGGATTTCGACGTGACGCGCCCATGGGAGCTCGCTCCCCTCCTTTCGCACGCGACTGGCACACACCGGTGGGTGGCACTGTCTCAGGAGAAAATTCTTTCACTGGCCTACTGAATTCAGCAATTGGTAAGAAACAAGAAAGTATGGTGGCTCCCAAAATTGGGTGCCAGTGTCTCATGTGCCAGACGTAGTGGCACCCACCGGTGGGTGCCATTGTCGTCAAAGGGTTGAAGCAGTGACTGGTGTGTCGGTTTGTTGTTTTCTCTGTATGGCCGTCCGTAAAACTTCATGATTGTGGTAAAGCAAGTGATATGGATAGACCAGCTCTATCCTACAATTTTTTCTTTTATACGAAGCAGCAGTTGGGTGGTGGGTAGGTGAATGCAGTAGAGTGAGAACTGCAGAGTGAAGTGAGTAATGTGGAGTAACGGGGTTCATCAACACTGTGATTTCGATCCGTTCTTGCATCGTGCCATGTATGCCTGTACCAAATTTGGAAGTGATAATGCAATTGAGAGTCCTCCACTTTTTTCAACGTTGAGCGGTAGAGCGCAGGCAAGCTTATAATGGTGCTCAGGACCCTTTTTACTGGAGAATATATAGTTTTTTACCTTTTACCTTTTCCCCGGCGTAGGCTCAACGACCCGACTAGCAATAATAATAGTAGTAATAACATTTGAAATGTCAGTAATGACCATCGAATTCACAGCTTTTTTGGTTAGCCAATAGCTTCCAAGAGGATGTCTTATCCCGTAGTAGTAGGAAGGCATTACTTGTATCACCTCTCCTCCCAATGGTCATCGAATTACTCGAGGCGGCAGACGTTTCTAAACGTTTTAGAGCGAGAAAATGCTGTGTTGTTTCCTTTCTGGCACAAGAGCGATGTGGGAATTCCTTCCATCCACAGATTTTGTGAAGGTGTCGTGCAACCACCAGTGGTAGAAAGGTATATGAAAATGAATCGGTAACTATCGATTGGTCACTCGAGTTAACGGTTGATTTCTGTTGGCTTTATCACCTTCATAAGATCATTAGGGTGCACAATTCTTCCATAGTCGGGGTTCGATGATGGTATCGCGATGACGTTTCCGACAATTCTTCAGAAATATACGATCCACGTCGACATGTTTTTCGAGAGATTCACGGAGAAGCAAGTCGGTAAGAAGTTTGAAGCGAAATATACTTGGAAATCATTCATCCGCTGGTTGTGATGAGGTTAGTCAGTGACTAGGCACTGCTTGGAACACCTTCGCTGTTTGATCAATCCTTGGTCTCCCTGTCAGGTAGCTACCAGCAAACTTAGTGACTGCTACACCAGCGAAACTCTTCATACTTGAATCAAGTGGAAAGGGGAAAGACACTCACAAATGAAAGAAGAGCACACTCCTCAGAAATCAGAGTGTGCTTTCCAGTCGGGATGTTCTCAAAATGAGACCTACCTTTTGTCCGACACTTGTTTTGAGATAAACTTCCCTTGCCTAAACAAGTCATGCTTTCATCATTATTCGTGATAAAGAGCAGATGACCGATGCCACTGTTTAATTGTAGCGGGTATTTGCAATTTTATTGTCGAGTTCATAATCTTGGTGATTGATATACTGTCCCAAATTCCACTCAACTGCGGTCTCTGCGTAACCGTGGATCGAAGCACATTAAAGATTTGCACTCGGCTGTATGCTGCAGAGGCCTTCGAAACCTGGAAGAGCAAAGGGTGCCCAGATAACCGTAGAGAGTGCGCACGCTAGACGCACTGCTTGTGAGTACAAATAACTTGTTTTCTTTCTCGCGAGGGTATTCCAGCTGAGCGTGCTGCAACCTTCTGACGGTGTACGTACTGTCGATTCTACAAAGAACCAATAAAAATACGAGGAAGAATCGAGTGACTGACGAATAGTCTGCAAAAGTACTAACTATGCGTCGCGCGTTGCTCACCGTGAATGTTTGAATCGAATGAAGTAGTATGCATAAGCGATATGCCGTATTCATAATTAAATACCAATCACTCAGTAGGGGAGCTTGTATCACTGTAGATATGACTAGAGCAAAGGGTGTGTGGTCTGTCTAGTCTAGAGTGAGCTGTAGTGGCAACCTTTTGTCCAATGTTCATACAAGATGTAGCCACACTCACCTGTCATTCATGTCACCTCTTTCGGACCATCCATCCTTTGTGGTTATAAAAGCGACGTTGAGGGTAGAACATTAACGGAAATAAGATGATAGATGATTCTTCTGGTGTTTTCTTGCGAGAATATTTCACATCTCAAGGTCTCCACAAGGCCCCGATACCAAAAGGTGACCTCTTCGTGATTAGCATTGATGACAACTCAGCTACAAATGAATCCTTTATTTCAAGACAACATGGTCATACTAAAGACAGTAGCTTTTGGTTGACAGCTTGATCATCTCGAAGATGTTGGGATGAGGCGTCACGATGCCTGAAATATACGAGATGGGTTGAAAGTCAAGAAAGGTTCCCCTGCCTAATTTTTAAAGCGGGACGCTCATAATTTCAGCATAAAAATATTTTTCAATTTTCTTGTGCGAAACGGAAAGTTTCATAGAATATCCCCGGCGAACCCATCATTGTCAGTACATCTGATTTTATTCTATTTTTTCTTAGCATTTTGTTAGGATTGATACGTGTTCTATCCTACCATACATATGTAATTTGCTATTTGTGTCTATAGTGTGTGGGCTTGACCGCCTAGAGCTGCTTCATGGATCTAGAGCATGCAAATTTGGACGGGGTACAGGTGGCAGGATGGAAACACTGATGTTGGTGGTAGAGAGTAATGAAAAGCGTTAGGAGCTGGCAAGGCTCTTTAGAAGGCAAAGGCCACGGGATTCTTTTTTCACTTCGTGGTAGCGGTGGAGCGTTGGCACTTTAGTAAGTGGTGTGGCTTAAGAGGGGACCCTACGTGAAGTGCTGACGGGTAGGTGTTGATCAATATGGGTGTTAAAGGAAATCTGGAAGTCGCCAAGAGGCCACTGGAATGTTTGTTGTCTCACCCGCTCCTCCAGAGAAGGAGGCTAACAAAAGTAATTTCCGTGTGGAGCGAAAACCGTGGATTTGCTCCAATTCTTGAGCAATAAGGAGACATTGCCAAACCCATAGCTAGTTTCGATCTTGATATTTTAACTCATTAAAAAGCAACAGCTGCCATTTCCCTGAATCCAGATAGGCGAGCCGGTCCCATGCTTGGTAAGATGAATTGACATGGAGAGTGATATAGAGCTGCCGTCTGAGTAGCGACTTTTTTGTATTTGCTCTTCAGCACCTCACAATGTTTTTTTCATTGAAATCATATCGAGAGGAACATCACATCACCAGAGCAAAGCTAATCAGACTTCTCCCATTTTAATACCAGCTCTGAGACCAGGCTTAACAGTCTGGATTGAGGGATTCGTTGTTTGCTCAGTTTCTCAAACTGAAAATTGGTCATGCAAATTGTTTTACTATGCTGGATGGGATCTCATTCGTTGGGAGTCTCAACAGTCACTCATGATTAGTATTTTGTCGCACCTATAAAGTGAGAAAAAAGTGACTTTTCCTACCGAAATGTATGTTTTAGCTTGCTCCCTTAGCAGCGGCTGTTTTGCAGTTTCCGAAAACTATCTGTAATCATTCCATATATAATGTCAATTGTGGGGTTAGAAATAGAAGGGTAAAGAAGGGGTTGCAGCATTGAAGCGACTTCCATTTGTAGTGCCGTTTGAATACAGGTTCAGTCTATTTAATTACTTGTATGATTATTTATTCTTAATGTAGGCAATCATACCCTCAAAGAGGTCCGATGCCAATCATCATACCTGGAAGGATACGGGTTGAAAAGGCGACAAATAACAACTACATAGTAGCGGTACCCGTTGGTCTGACCGACGAACTCATTTTTATTTCCTGGAGGGAAAGAATTATATTTCAGTTCTTATTTCTATTTTGATTAATAAGAACTTAAGTACTTTTTGAATTAGATGCAAAACGAACCTATGTGATATCGTAACCTCCAGCTAGTTTTTCACCGATCACTCGTATTGCAGCCACTATGTAGTCTTGTCGTTGTCGTTTATTTAGTACATGTTATCAAAAATTGCTTTCTAACTGGGCAGCTCTACCAAAAACAGCTCTATCTTTTCGATGTGTTGCGAACATCAGCATGTGAGTTGGCAGGTTCCCTCGTTTCGTTGGTTCGGCCAATTTTTCCCAATTTGAATTAGTCCTTGCTCGTATCTTTGACCTCCGGGAAATCTCACCTGAATTACTAACACTTCTACAAGATTTTCTTGCAGTTCCTGCATGGAATAGAACCCTTAAAAAGCAATAAATACGGGAATGACGAGAGAAAGTTTAGGGCCTCGAAGGAGTTTCAGTAAAAAAAACTCTACATTGTTTACAATTACAAAGTTTGGGAAACTTCCTTCAAAAAGGATTGAACGAACCTATGCAAAATGGACAAGAAGGAACAGGAAGGTGTTAGGATTTATAAAGATGAGTACAATGTGGAGAACTAAGAGTAAAAGGCATGAAGGTTCTCGAGAACTGAGAAAAGGGGCATAACGAAGGCAAAAAAAAATTAGTGAGAGGAAGATCAAAACGAATAAGGGAACCGGAAAGGAATGTATTGACGACCATGGCGAAAGAAGAGGTTGAGGTGAGGTCCGGACAAGCGAAGAGCTAATAGGTGCTCTTCTCTGCGGCCCCAAACATGTTATAATTTTTATTAGGCTAGTCTCTCAGCCAGTCACCATCACTTTGGTCAGAGCCTAGATGCCAAACTAAACCCATATCTCACATTAAGGGAACACTACCCAAGAACTCAAGTCAGAATGAAAAGGAAAGATCATTAAGAGAAAATTGAGAGGAAAAATTCCCCCAAAAGAAAAAATTTTTGGTGGATCTACTCTGCTGACGTTGTTGACTACCTTTTATACGAGATCGAAAACAGCTGATTGAGGTTTGGTTGCACTCAGTTGCGCAACGTATGCAGTGTTTTGCAATGACTCATGCCCGATGCACTCATTAACTCTATGCGCTGAAACGCGCACTGCTAGTACAAGTAAAGTGCTGGCCAATCTGTGATACAAAGAGCGAAATAGGAAACGCTTCATGGGTTGCGCTATGAAGCTCACCACCGTTCATCCTGCAAGATGGATGTGAATGTCCTGCAATCTTCATACATGTTTTGTACAGTGAATTTTGAGGGCACAGTATAATGTGGTTCGCGTCGCAAACGTCTGTTTGGGCCAGGCATCCAAAATAGTATACAGTCAGTTATAGACTGCTAATTCATTGGGATGTATCAGTGTCTTAGATAACTGGAAGCTGTTCTCACTTTTTTCTTGACTTATCGAACTTATACTTTCACCATAATGGCCGAGCTGTAGTTCTATCCTAGTTGCAGTTAATGTTTCTCAAGGGCACCTGGCGAGAGTAGGTTAGGAGAAATACCATTTCCGCCATTCAGGTGTATAGACTTCGTTCAATCCTATCTATTGAAATATCTCAAAGCTTTTCAAAATCGAAAAAAAGATCTCAGTGGTGCCTTTTTAGCTACGGGTCTAAATTTCTCATTCAGTAAGTCGGCTTTCTGTACTCGTACATATGTAGGAAGTAATTGATGAAGACAGAAAAGTGAATGCTCTCTCGTGTTTCCTTCGGACGCTCTAGGGCTCGACTTTATTAATTACTTCGTTGAGATCATAAACATAATTAACTAGTTATCACAAATAAGATCTGATTGGAACCGTATTTTACTACACCGGCTAACACTAGAAGGACAGTGAGCGGTGAGATAGGAGATCGCTTTCTAAACGAGACCTTCTCAGAAACGAGATCAACAGAAAACCAGCAAACACATAGAGAATACTCAACAATCTAACATCGTAGACTAGGTCAAAAAGCGGATAGAGTAAAAGAAACTATTCAGTTAAGAAATTTCCTGTAGTACATCACAACTATCTGTTTTCTACCATAAGAAGCTTAACAAATCTAAAACTAACAAGCTTCCGAAATCCAAACTAATCTACTGCCAATTTGTTTCCGTCGAGCTTCTATTCATCGTCCATTGACGATCGCGGAAGAACCGGTACCGGGAAACCGTGTTTTGAATCCTTTGCTGGCCAGTCATACGTTTTGTTGATGAGTTCATCGTACTCCACAGAATAAATTTGAGAACGAATGAACATCTCCTTAAAATTGCTGATTTGCATTTGCATTGGAAATTCAATTTGGAATCTTGGCCTAAAGACCCTACAAAATCCTGATCCTGATTTTTTTCTAGACCTATAGCGCGCTCATGGAAAATTAGAAAATTTGGGTTTTTTTTCTGAAACAACTGTCAAACTAGTTTTTCACAATTTTGAATACCAATTGAACTAGCTTTTTCACCATTGAATATCATTTCAGTAGAATGTTCCTCAGAATCATCGCTTACCTTGTCTTCCGGTTCTGGATGAAGAGTAGCAAGGTTGTTTTGATAGAAGAAGTTCCCTACCTGCAAAAATAATCTAGACTTGAAAAGTTTTTACCATACACCTACTGGGGACCGTCATGATTGCTTATTGCACGGAAGGAAAAGACTGCTGTGTTTACATAAAAAGTTTAAGCGAGCTTATCAAGGTGATCACTTTGATTATTACAACTAATGGCGAGAGGGCAGGGAGCAGTATAGTAGCTACTGACTTTTTCATCATCTCCTTAATGTTCATTTCCCATCAAATTTTTTTAATAGTTCTACTTCGATAAACGTAACATAGGTGATTAATGTGATTATTGGTCGAATCGCTGGAGTATCCTAAGCGGAACCAGGGCACAGGGAGTGCGGAGGGTCAACGAGAAGCCGAAAAATCGAAAGATTTTATTTTTTGGAAAATGTGGTAGTACTTCTTGACTATTTTTATCAAAGACCTCAACCGCAATAGCTGTCACCGCCTCGTGTCATCTCAACGTTGAGCTATGTAGACTCTAACCGGACGGTACCACATTTCCGGGACATTTGGAAATCATAATGGTAGTTATTATGTCATACATTTATTATGAATGTGTGAGTACTGAAATGAGCTTGTGGGCTTTCCACACGTTCGATGTAAGCTAAGGTGAAACTTACGTCGACAGCAATGTGAACTGAGAGCTCACGGATATCCTTTAGCCGTGGATAGAGCCTCGAGTACTTTTCCAGAGATTTCACTGTAACCGACTCAGCACAGCGCTAAATTACAATGTAATATTTACTAGTTTTTAACAACTGCCTACTCACCGAAAAATGATGGATGGATCAGAACAAAAAAAACCGTACCCTAGCAGCTAGCAGGAACGCTTTATCGGGGATGTGCTTTGCTTTGAAGAGAATAGCTCCCAGAGCAACTCCAGGAAAGATGTAGGAGTTGTTGCCCTGACCTGGTTTGAATAGTTTGCCATTATATTCGACATCATCAAAGGGCGAGCCGGAGGCAAAGAGTACCGCACCCTGAAATGGAATCTTGTTTTGTGGAGTTAGAAAAACAGTTGTCATTGCGAAACCTTGATCGTAGAAGCCGCCGTTTTGAGTGCCTCAAATCAAAGTCTAAAGTTTAAGATTTCAGTTTTGATACGAGTGTTCTTAGAGTAAAACAGTGATCTACGTCAAAGCGGGAATTTCAGAGATATGTGTAATATAGTGGTAATGAGCTCTTCGAGGTTATCCAAACATGGAAGTCGTTTCTCTGGACCAGTAAATTACTGCTCAAAATTTAAAAAAGCAAGATTGAGACAGTCTTATCCTGCGATATATGTATATATGTGTGTGTAGGCTTGACCATAAATTCATAACTCCTGTTTCCGTGGACCTAGAGAGTTCAAATTTTGTCGGAATTTAGGAGGCGAGATTTGAAAATCTATGGTGGCTGGCAAGACCAGCCCGCGCCAGANTTCGGACCATCCATCCTTTGTGGTTATAAAAGCGACGTCATTGAGGGTAGAACATTAATGGAAATAAGATGATACATGATTCTTCTGGTGGTTTTCTTGCTAGAATATTTCACATCTCAAGGTCTCCACAAGGCCCCGATACCAAAAGG